GAGACGCCAGGGAGGGGGCAGGCGTTCATTGATAAAAACGCTGGGCTCTCTCGGGCGCGAGCGCCGCGTAGCAAATCCAGCCAGCGCTACGCGCTGTCGCGGCCTGGCGGAAGCCAGAATTAGCCGGGCCCGCGCAGCGCCGCACCGCCCTCATGGAGCCCGCGGCTGGCTTCCTGTCCCCGCGCCCCTTCCAGCGTGCTGCCGCCCCACCAGCGCCCCCCGCCGGGCCCGGACCTCCTGGGCGTCCCATGCCAGGATCTGAGCCGGAGGTGCTGGCCGGGCCGCTGGCGCCGGACCCTGGGCGCCTCATCACTGACCCGCGTAGCGGCCGCACCTACTTCAGAGGCCGCCTTTTGGGCAAGGTGAGCTGGGGGGTGGTGTCAGCGAGGGTAGAGGGGGGACCCTGCCGGCCTCTTTGCCCGCGCGGGGCGTGGCAGGGGCGTTTGGCCTCGGCGCGGGAACCTCTGGTGGCCTGTCCTGGCGCTCCCATGGAGCGCCCTGCCTGATGCCCCCTCCTTATAGGGGGGCTTCGCCCGCTGCTACGAGGCCACTGACACAGAGACCGGCAATGCCTACGCGGTCAAAGTCATCTCGCAGAGCCGCATCACCAAGCCGCATCAGCGTGAGAAGGTGAGCCGGGACCCAGTCCCAGCAGACGACGGGTGGGGTGGGGACAGTGGCGTGGGAGCCCTTTGCGGATGACAACCCCGCGTCCCCATTGCAGATCCTAAACGAGATTGAGCTGCACCGTGGCCTGCAGCACCGCCACATTGTGCGTTTCTCGCACCACTTTGAGGATGCTGACAACATATACATTTTCCTGGAGCTCTGCAGCCGAAAGGTGAGGGATGATGATGGAGGTGGGGGAGGGAATGGGGACCTTAAGACCCAAAGTTGGAGCCCTGCTCTTCCTCAGCAAGCACAAATGGAGGGAGGATCCGGGAGGGCAGACGAGGGGCTGAGGCAGTGGCTCTCTGCAGTCCCTGGCCCACATCTGGAAGGCCCGGCACACCCTGTTGGAGCCAGAAGTGCGCTACTACCTTCGGCAGATCCTTTCCGGACTCAAGTACTTGCACCAGCGAGGCATCTTGCACCGAGACCTCAAGCTGGGTGAGACTCCTGGGCCAACAGGATGGGGCGTTGGGGAGGCAGAGAAAAAGGCGTCTGACACATTTCTCAACCCCGGTCCAGGAAATTTTTTCATCACTGAAAACATGGAACTGAAGATGGGGGATTTTGGGCTGGCAACCAGATTGGAGCCCCCGGAGCATAGGAAGAAGTGAGTGTTTGAGGAGGGGGGTGGCCACAGTCTGTGTGACACAGATGACGTGCGTGACAGACACTAAATATGTATGTGGGAGGCACGATGACTGCCTGATGTGTCTGTGTAATAGATGGGAAAGGATGATGGGTTGTGTGTGTGTGTGTGAGATGGTGGCAGTGGCAGCCTGGGTGAATGGGAATGATGGAGAGGCTGTGGGTCCTCTGTGTGTTTAGTCCCCGAGACAGATGGGTGTAAGGACTCTTGGAGGTGTATGACTGATCTTGTGTGAATGTGGATGGTGACATAAGAGTGTGTGAGATGGACTGAGAGTGTAGGGATGATGGGACATGGCACCCCGTGTGTCACGATAACCTGCTGTGGCAATGAAGACTGGGTGTAAAACAGATAGCATGTGTGGTAGTTGAGTGTTTATGGGGGACGTGACAGCTGGTGTTGGTGTGTGTGCCACAGACCATAGGAGGTGACAGCCTGTATGGGTGTCTGACAGACGGGAGTGGGGGAAGGAGGAAGGGATCAGTGATGGACCCTCTGTTGACCCTGGAGGAGGGGGCTGGGTTGGGGGTCAGGGCCTCCCCCTGTCCTGCAGAGCAGCTGAGCAGCTGGGCCAGGCGGGTGGGCAGGGACTCAGCTGCCATCCCTGGCATCCATTGTCTCAGAACAAGCAGGAGTTCTCTGGCCTTTGGTGACAGGCAGCTGCTTTGTCTGGACTCACAGTGGGGGCAGGGATGAGGGGCCAGCCAGGCTGCTTCTGAACTGTGTCCTCTGCTCTTCCCTACCCCCTTTCAGGACCATCTGTGGCACCCCCAACTATGTGGCCCCAGAAGTGCTGCAGAGACAGGGCCACGGCCCTGAGGCAGATGTGTGGTCCCTGGGCTGTGTCATGTGAGTCCCAGGGTCATGTGCACACAGGGGGTACCCAGGGAGGCATATGTTCCACTTTACTCCTGACCCCCTTTCTCTGCCCCACAGGTACACACTGCTATGTGGGAGCCCCCCCTTTGAGACAGTTGACCTGAAGGAGACATACCGCTGCATCAAACAGGTTCACTACACGCTGCCTGCCAGCCTTTCACTGCCTGCCCGGCAGCTCCTGGCCACCATCCTTCGAGCCTCACCCCAAGACCGCCCCTCAATTGACCAGATCCTGCGCCACAACTTCTTTACCAAGGTTTGTGGCCCCCCAGACATGTCCAATCTGTGGATTCCCAGGGGATTGAATGGGAGCAGGTGACAGGACCCCTGGGCTGCTCTTCTCTGCTTACATGCCTTCTCTCTTCAGGGCTACACCCCCTACCGGCTCCCTGTCAGCAGCTGTGTGACAGTCCCAGACCTGACACCCCTTAACCCAGCTAGGACTCTGTTTGTCAAAGTTACCAAGAGCCTATTTGGGAGGAAGAAGAGTAAAAGTGAGTCTGGGATGTCAGTGGTTTTGAGGGTTCAGAGCGGCAAGGGGCTTGTCAAGTACACGTGAGGGTGTGAGTCTGAGTCCCTGGGGAGAGCATGTGTTACACAGGCACGTGGGTATGCCTAACAGTATCATCCCAGCGGGCAGCAGGGGGGCTGGACAGGATTCTGAGGGTTCTATCTCGCCCCACCCAGATAAGAACCATCCTGAGGAGCGGGACGAAGTCTCCTGTTTGGTGAACAGCCTCACTCGGATGTCCATTGGCCATCAGGATGCCAGGCCCGAGGTGAGGTGCTCACGTGGACAGTGTTCCCCTTACTCACCCCCACCCTAGCAGCTGCGGGAAGCCTGGGATAAAAGAGGCTGATGAAACATCTAGCCTCGTGGTGGCCTAATTGGCTGTATCTCATCAGCCAGGCAGGGCTGACCTGGGGTGCCCCGGGTGCCAGGGCAGGGCTGGGCCATGGACTCTCAAGGATTTGGACTTCGGGGCCTATCTCACTCCCTTTCTCCACCCAACCCTCCAGGCTCCGGCAGCTTCAGGTCCAGCCCCCGTCAGCCTGGTAGAGACAGCACTTGAGGACAGTTCACCCCGTGGGACACTGGCGAGCAGTGGAGATGGTGAGCCACCAGGAGGGTGAAGGGTGCTAGAGGTTGCTGGGCCTGAGACCAGGCCCAAAGGGAAGGAGTGGGTGGAGAGTCACTGTCTAGGACCTGGGGGACTACTGCCTAATTCCCAGTGCCCTGTTCCCTTCAGGGTTTGAAGAAGGGCTGACTGTGGCCACAGTGGTGGAGTCAGCCCTCTGTGCTCTGAGAAACTGCCTGGCCTTCATGTCCCCAGGTGAGGCTGGCGTCTGGTGTATGTGAATGGTGGTGGGAGTTCTTTGACTGGGAGGCCAGGAACAGGTCCTCATTCCTTCCTCTTCCATGACAGCTGAACAGAACCCCGCTCCCCTGGCCCAGCCAGAGCCTCTGGTGTGGGTCAGCAAGTGGGTTGACTATTCCAACAAGTTTGGCTTTGGGTATCAACTGTCCAGCTGCCGTGTGGCTGTGCTCTTCAACAATGGCACACACATGGCCCTGTCAGCCAACAGAAAGTAAGTGGTGTCACGGGGTGTCTTGTATCCAGCCCACTGTACTCAGCAGGGCTGTACCTTGGTGTGTGCTCCTGGGCTCCCGGACCTGCAGTCTCTCAGGGGAGGGGCGTGGGTACAGGGCTCCATCTGACTTCTGTCTCCATCTCCTCCCCTCCAGGACTGTGCACTACGACCCCACCAGCACCAAGCACTTTTCCTTCTCTGTGGGTGCTGTGCCTCGGGCCCTGCAGCCTCAGCTGGGTGTCCTGAGGTATTTTGCCTCCTACATGGAGCAGCGCCTCATGAAGGTTTGTGGACTGGGGTGGGGCACGTTGAGGACGAACACATCCTGATCCCTTTCTGTTCCCCTTTGGGGGTGGGTGGGCGAGGGGGTGGGTGCTGCAGCTAGAGGCTGAACCTCTAAGGGAGACATGAATGGAGAGAGGACTGACTCATGTCAGACAAGTGACCTGCCCCTGCTCTCAGGGTGGAGATCTGCCCAGTGTGGAAGAGGTGGAGGTGCCTGTCCCCCCACTCCTGCTGCAGTGGGTCAAGACTGATCAGGCCCTACTCATGCTCTTTAGTGATGGCACCATCCAGGTAAGAGCTCCTCTTGGAGTTGGGGGTAAGGTCTGGGAGGTCCAGGGTGCTGGGGAGGAAACAATATGGGCCTTAGGCCCTGATCAGTGCCACCCTCCTGCGCACAGGTGAACTTCTACGGAGACCACACCAAGCTGATCCTCAGTGGCTGGGAGCCTCTCCTTGTGACTTTTGTGGCCCGCAATCGCAGTGCTTGTACTTACCTTGCTTCCCACCTTCAGCAGCTGGGCTGCTCCCCAGACCTGAGGCAGCGGCTCCGCTATGCTCTGCGCCTGCTCCGGGACCGCTGCCCAGTCTAGGCCCCAACCTGCGGGGCCGGCCACTACCCAAGCCCTCAGGCCTGACGCCTGTGCCTGTAAGGCTCTGGCCCTTGCCTTTGTGGCCCTCCCTGTTCCTTTGGTGCCTCACTGGGGGCTCTGGGCCGAATCCCCCAGGGAATCAGGGACCAGCTTTACTGGGGTTGGAGGCGGCCTCCTACCCCTTCTCCAAGAAAAGCCTGAGCCTTAGCCCCCCGCTAGGGGGCGTTATTTATGAACCACTTTTATTTATTGACAGACATTTATTTATTGGGATGTGAGCCCCAGGGAGGGCCTCCTCCTGGTATAATAAACTGTTTTTGCAAAACTCGGAGTCTTCACTCGCAGTAGAGCCTGTGGACCGTGGCCACGGCGAAGAAGGAGGCATTGGTGGCCGCGGCCGTGGCCGGCCTGTCGCGCGCCCAGTCCCAGAGCGCGCGGCTGACCACGCGCACGCCCTGGCCGGTGCGTGGCCCCAGCACCACGCTGCACACCAGCTTGTAGCGCGTCGGGCTGAGCGCGCGCAGGCGCACCAGCTCACACAGCTCCGGCGCCCGCTGCCCGGCCTCGGCGTGGGAGTAGCACGCGTCGCGCAATCCTGCCTCCAACGCCGCTTCCAGGGCCCGCTGTGCGCACGCAGCCTCACAGCGCTCCCGTGGCGCCGACTCCGTGCGGTACGAGGGCGCTGCCCAGCGGGCGGCCACCAGGGGTAAGCCAGAGGAGCTGACCCGCGAGCCTAGAGGGGGCAAGGGGCCCAGGGATGGGCGCCGACCCCCTAGACCTGTGCCTGGCCCGGCCAGCGAGTTGCGGCGCGAAAAGGACGAGGCCAGACCTAGCACGGAGCCACGGCGGGAGGCCGGGCCCGTGCCGTCTGGTCAGGTCTCATCGATGCTGGGCAGACGGCCTGGAGGCCGCGCTGGTGATTGTTTCAGCCCATGGTCTTTGGCAGTCTCCTCCTCCTCGTGTCCGGAGGGCACAGGCCTGCCAGCCATGGACCTGCCGGCTGGAAGACCCACGCTTGGACGGGATGGCCCTCACTGGCCGTCTCTGTACACCATCCCGTCTCTTACTTAATGATGAGTTTTTAACCCCTAATCCCTTCTTACCTGTTTTTTGGGGGACAGGTGAATCAAGTAGTCCGGGGCTGCGTGGATTCCTAGGTGCTTAGAGGGTTAAGGGCTGTTAGGGACACAATAAGGGGAGAGATGCTGCTCAGACTATCATCTTACTATCCCTACCCCCGAGCTCCACTTTCCTTGGGCACTATGGAAGTTAGTTAAATGACCTCGAGGTACACCTCCTTTTCTCCCACCTGACTTCACCAGCAGAAGGGGGAGGTGTATCTGCCCTCTGCCTCAGCCTAGACAGTGGCGCCTCCACCCCCTGACCAGAGAGAGGGACAGACAGACCCAACTCCTTCATCCCCCACAGATCCTTCTAGCCCTGTGAGTCTTGAATCCAGACATCCTCCACCCCTACCTGCTCTTATGGTGGCTGGCACAAAGATCCCCTACAACTGGCTGCGGCTGGGGCCAGGTGACTCAGGATGGTCCTTCCACTCTCCGCTTTTGGCTTCTGGCCCTACCTCCAGAATCAATTCTGGGATGGCTGCCCTCTTCTCCCGAAACTCCTCAGACACCTGAGTCACCTGTAGCCTTTGGCCTCCAAGCTCTCTCCTAACAGCCCTTGCCCTGCTGGCCTGGCTGGCAGGCGGGAGGTTAAGGGCCCCTTGCCTTTGTTGTGGAGTTGCCATGGGTTACTGGGCAAGCACTCCCCTCTTCCCGGTTCCCTCTTTCCTGTCCTGGCTCTGGCTTAACCTGGGAGTGTTCCTACTATGAGCACGTGCCAGGTGACTGAGTCATCAGGGGAGAGGGATCAGCAGGGGCTTAGAGCCCAAGGGCATACAAGTATGACTGAAGGGGCAGATGTAGAGAGGGGCTCTGGTCAGATTGGTGTCCCCCCACCCCAGAGCTGTTGACCCACTGTCCATTTCACCCCTTGTGAAGACTGGCTCTCCACTTGTCAGCAAGTCTCAGAGGGCCTGGGATATGGGGAAACCCTGAGGCTGTGGGGGAGGCCCCTCAGAAATCCGGACCTGGGCCTACGGGAAGGAGTCCCCCCCACCCCACCCCCGCCCTGCCCCCATCCCTGTCACCATCTCCCCGTCAGCCTCAACTAGGGCAAAGGTTTTCCGTTCCCTGTGCAGAGCTAGGGTGTGGCTTGGATGACTTCCTCAATTCAGGGCTGGGGGAGGGGGAAGGGAGACCCATCCGAACACAGACCTGATGCAAGCAACAGTGATGACTCCACTCCTAAGTGCACCCTGCTGTCCGCAGTGCCCTGGGGCTTGTCCCCAGCTATCCACACCTCTTGTGTGCCCTACTGCTCAGATTGCCACCCCCGCCTTCGGTTGCATTTCAAGGATGCCAGAGACCAATGACTCCTCTTTCAGAGGTGACACCTCCTCACCTGACCCCCCTCTGGGAGCAACAGTACTGCCACCTCCCAAACAAGCCAGGTCTGGGCCCTGAAAACGGTCCATAGGGACAAGGACTTTCCCCGCTGAGGGGGGTTCCCCAGGCCTGGCTAGCCTGATCTTGACCCTGTGTGCCTGTTGGGGGGAGGGTGGGAGGGGGCAGGGAGTTTGAACTCTGAACCCAGGACAGGCAGGGGCCAGGGTGCCAAGACCCTCTGACTCTGCTTAGGGCCCCTCTAGGGCTGAAGTTTTCTCTGGGCCTGTGGGAGCTGGGCGGGGCCTCGTCTCTGGCTGGGCTCTAGTTTCCGTGGAAACCCACAGGCTTCCCACCCCAGCGCTGCCTGGGCATGCTCCCAGCTGGGGCCTCATCCACAGCCAGCCTCTCCTCCCGAGTCCAGTCCGATCTACCTTGGCCTCTCTTGATCCCCTCCCTGAGTCCCCATCCCCAAGCCAAGCCTCTGGCCTCCTCCACTGGCCTCTGATGCCTTCAGGAACCTGGGCCTCCTGCCTCATTCCTAAACTTTAGCTTCTCAGCAAACAGGCCTCCCAAGCTCTTGCCCCTCCCTCTCGGGCCTTTCTAGCTCCTCACCAGCTTTAGGGCTCAACCAGGCCTCCTGCTCCTTCCACCTACCGCCTCCCACGGACCAGCAGACAACAGGCCTCCTAGGCTGTTCCTCCTGCTCACTCCCCTGCCCTACCCCACCCATGGAGACCCCAGGACTGATTGTGCACGGGGAGGCTGCGCCCTTTTCCACAGCACTCCGAAGCCTCGTCAACAACCCCCTATACAGGTGAGGGGGGGCCCTGTTTGTGGGTTTTCCCTAGCTGGCTCTGCTGGGCCCCTTGACTCTGAGGAAGCTCTGGGTACAGAGGAAGTGGGGAATTAGGACTTGACCCTCCTCCCTGGTGAACTCAGTCTGGGGAAGTCAAGTGTAGAGGATAACTACTGGTCGCTTAGTGTCTACGAGAGCCAGAGGTGGGGGCACTGGGGCCCGGAGCTCAGAGCAGCTATGTGACCTCAGGGAAAGGCCTTCCTGTTTTGGATCTTAGGCTCCTGGCAGAGAAGAGCCCTCTGCCCCCAGGACCCTGAGAAATGGAATGTAACTTGAGTGCCTCCCTAGGGAGGCAGAGGAGCAGATAACCCTGCTCTGGGAACTGCGGACTCACAAGAGGAACAAAGCTCAAGAGACTGAGCCAGAGTTGCAGACAGGAGGCAGTTCAAGGGTGCTGCCTGGGGCTCACTGCCTGCCCAGGATGCTGTGCTGTCTGAAACCAAGGGACAGAGTACGGGGGTAACGCTGGTCAGGAGAACTAGAACGCAGCTTTCTATTCCCACTGCCTCAGAGCTGGGCCCCTCCCTATGGGTCGGTGACTCCTATAACCCTACTTCTTTGGGCATCACAGTCTGGTCTGAGCAGTGGGAACCCCCAGGCCTTGGACCTGAGACTGGGAGGCTCCAGGAAGCTCAAGCTTCATCTCCTGCTTCCTACCCGCTATGCTGTTCAGAGGCCCAGAGGCTGGGCCAGTAGTGATCGTGAAGATGGAAAATGTGGTCCGGCCTCATGATGGTGCCTCACTGACGTGTCTATTTGCAGCCGGTGCACTCTGCACCCCCAACCCTACCCTCTCCTGTCTGGAGGAGGCTGAAAAAGCTGAGTTTGCAGTCTGTGGAGGAGAAGCCTTTCCCTTCCCCCAAGACACAGGCTAGCCGGCAGGAGAGGGGTATTGGGATCAACCTTGTATCAGCCCTGGTGCCCCCTCAGTGATCAATTGATCAAACACAGCCACCTCCTAGGGTTTGGGATTCGCATCCTGTTTCAGGGATGAGAAAGCTGAGAGTTAATGAGTAGGAAGTCTCTTGCCTAGGCACCACAAGGTGGAGCTGGAATTAGAACCACGCCTGTGTGACCCAGACCTTCGGCTGGAGGGACTGTCTCTTTTACAGGGCAGATAAGGAAACGGAGTTGGGCAAAGGCAAAGCCTAGAGTTGCGCAGAGACTCTGGCCTCCTCTTCCTGGTTCTCTGCCCCTCTCTCCCACAGTGATGTTCGCTTTGTGGTCGGTCAAGAACGGCAGGAGGTGTTTGCCCACCGGTGCTTGTTGGCATGTAGATGCAACTTCTTCCAGCGACTTCTGGGCTCAGAGCCGGGCCCCGGGGTGCCTAGCCCTGTGGTGCTGAGCACCGTGCCAGCTGAGGCCTTCCTGGCAGTGCTGGAGTTTCTGTACACCAACAGTGCCAAGCTGCACCGCCACTCCGTAAGCCCACCGGGCAGGGGTCTGGGTGGGAGGAGGGGTGGCTGAGGGACGGGGGAGACTCCTTTCCACTCCCCCAATCACCCACTCTGCAGGTGCTGGAGGTGCTGACGGCGGCTGTGGAGTATGGGCTGGAGGAACTGCGAGAGGTGGGTTTATGTGGCGCCTCATCTCGTTTCCCCCGCCTCCTATGGGCTCAGTTCCTATCCTGCCTCACACACCGGCTAGCCTGGAGAGCAACGTGCACCGGTACAGACAGAAGTATGGGTATCTCTGTGTAGATAGGCATTTATGTGTGCCTGTGTGCAAACGGATATGCGCGTGCCCTGTGTGTGCTGTGGGGGCATGTGGGGTGTTTATGGATGGTGCTGTAGATACCAGGATAAGTTAGCCTTGATCCCTGTTCTTCAAAGAGAGACAGACACAAGAAAACTCTTAACCCAAGGCCATAAGAAGTATGACAGATAAGGGCAAATGGTGCTGGGACTGTACGGAGAGTCTCTAGTCTCGCCACCAGGGAGAGAGGAGGAAACATTTGTGTTGGATCGGGTAGAGCAGGTAGGAGTTTGTTCAGAGGGGGAGAGGAAAGATGGCATTCTAGTTACAGAGACAGAGGTACAAAAGATGCTGGTGACACATTTAGTGTGGCTGGACTCAGTGTGTGAGAGGAGAGGGAGATATGAGATTGGAGAGCGTGCCAAGGGCTGGTTCCTGCAGAACTTTCAAGAATTTGGACTTCTTTTACCCAGAGGGCAGTGGAAGGGAATTCATGAGGTTTCAGATAAAGGAGTGAGGATTTGGAAGCTAAGGGGAGAAGGGATTGGGGCTTACCAGTCCAGTAAGGGGGGGTGGTGGTGGCGGTGGTTGCCCGGGAGAGGTGCATGGCTTTGAGAGAAGTGGAATTGTCATGACCCAGTGCTTTTTTGGATGTCGGGGGGTGAGAGAGAGGTGTTGTGGATGAAATTCAAGTTTCTGGTTAAAAGAGAAGTGTCTTCGAGTCCAGAGGGGAACACATGGAGAAAGATAAGTGTCCTGAGAGAAAGGGAGAGTGGAATTTTCACATGGCTCTTATCTAGCTTGATTAGTGAGGAATGTACTAAAAGGTAGGTCGCTGGGCTTGGCTTTACTAGTTTCTAGTTCCACCAGGTTTGCCAAGTCTCAGGCCCTGGTGATTCCCTGCCTCCCTTGGCCTGGGAGGTCTGTATGGGCCTGGGGCTGCTATAAGCCTGGCTGGCTCACTGCTCCAAGCCTGCTCACTGCTTCTGGACTGGGGCTGGGGTCTTGGAACAGGGACATTTGGGCACAACCCACATTCGTTTCTGTTCCCAGCTGTGCCTGCAGTTTGTGATGAAGGTGCTGGATGTGGAGCTGGTTTGCGAGGCCCTGCAGGTGGGTGTTGCTGGACAGGCTTGCTGGTGGTCCCCCTGTGGAGGGCCGGGCTACATGGCCCCTCCAGACCCAACCCAACGTCCCTCATTCTGCTCTCAGATTGCCGTATCCTTTGGCCTGAGACCGCTGCAGGAGCGCTGTGTAGCTTTCATAGAGGCCCACAGCCAGGTACAGCTCCCAACCTTCATACTCCCAACCCCACACGCCTCATCCTGCTCCCCCCTGACCCAATCGCGGACCCACAGGAGACCCTCCGGACCCGTGGTTTCCTGGAGCTGTCGGCACCCGCGTTGCTGCTTCTGCTGCGCAGCGACAAGCTCTGCGTGGATGAGGCCGAGCTGGTCCTGGCAGCCCGGAGCTGGGCGCGCGTGGGCGCGGTGAGCGGGAGCTGAGGGGAGCGCCGGGTGGGGGCGATGAAGGAGGCTCGGGCCGCAGGAACCCGGGGAGCGGGCGGCTGGGCAGGTGCCCCCACCCCCCTGGGCTCAACGCTGGCGTTGGCAGGCGGTGCTGGAGCGGCCTGCGGCCGAGGTGGCGGCCCCGGTGGTGCGGGAGCTGAGACTGGCCTTGCTGGCTCCGGCAGAGCTGAGCGCCCTGGAAGAGCAGAACCGGCGGGAGCCGCTCATCCCGGTACGGACGCGGGGAACACGGCTCAGATTCACTCCGCGGCGTGGGGGGAAGGGCGGGGGGCGCAGCCCAGGATCTGCGGGCTGAGGTAGGTATTGCGTGACCCCGCCATGACTCGCCTCCCCTGCAGGTGGAACAGATCGTAGAGGCGTGGAAATGCCATGCTCTGCGGAGAGGGGATGCGGCCCGGGGCGCCCCGTGCCGCCGCCGGAGGGGTACCCTGCCCCGGGAGCATCATCGCTTTCTGGACCTGCCCTTTAAGTGACCAACTGCCGCGACTTGCGAGGAATTCTGGGCCTCGCCTAAACTACAGCTCCCAACATGCTCCGCGCTCGGAGCGGGTTTCTGCTCCCAGAATGCCCGGCTAACGGGGAGCAGGAGGGGCGACAGTCTGACACGCGCAGGGGCTGTGGGTGAGATTCCGGGGGAGAGCGGGCCTGAGCGGCGCGTCGGTGGGCTGAACCTTGGCTTCAAGGCCCTCGCGAAGCCGGGAAGTGGGTTCCTTCGCGCTATGCTCTGGCGTTACAGCCGGCTCTTGGGCACCCTCGCCCACCCTGTTTACTCTTTTAATTCCCACATATCGTTTCAGCTCAGCCCCTTCTTTAACTCCAGACCTGCCTCCTGACGATCTCTCTCTAAATGTCCCACAGAGACCTCAGACTCAATCCAAAATTGAGCTCGCCCCTCATCTTTCTCCAGTTTTGCCCCCATCGTGTTTCTCATCTCCGTGGGTGCCCAAGCCAGAAGTCTACCGCTCATCCTTGCTTTATTCCTCTTCCTCACATCTGCCTCCCGTGGCTTCTACCTTTTAAGAGGCTGAAAGTTAGCAGAATATGCCACCCCAAAATATGCCTTTTTGGCATAAGGTTATTTTAAGCTGATTATTTTGAGAAAAGGGAGAAGTTTTGAAAACAGAGAAGTTACCCTTTTGTAAGGGAAGTTTTTAGAATGGAAATCTCCATTTGTAAGGGTGTCTCCCTCTCTGTACCAGGATGACTAACTCACAGGAGAATCTTCCGGTGAAGTCAGTGAAATCTGCTTAATAAACCTTATCCTTGCTTTTGGTGCTTTTTCCTGATGGCCTTCCTGTAACTGACCTCCCTACGGTTTTCTTTCTATTGTTAGCTGAAGGAGGTATTTAAGCAGTTATTTTAGGCCACCTCAGGGAGTTACTCATCTTCCCCTGGGTATCTCCCATGTATACATGAGATATACATGCTAATAAACTTCTGGGTTTTTTTGTTTTCTCTTGTTAAGATGTCTTATTACAAAGGTCTCAGCCAAGAGCACAGAGAGTAGAGAGAAAATTATTTTTCCTCTCCTACAAGATCTTTCCAGTTGGTTCAGTTCTCTCAGCCCAGTTCAGCCAGTCCTATCTGTGGCAGGAATCACTGCCACAGGCTCTTATTAATCCTCCTGCCTTCACTCCAGCGGCGACCCCCTCCCCAACCATTTCCCACACTGCTGCCAGACTTGTGTAAGATTGTCAGCCCTACTCTCCTTATTAAGTTCCTCAACATTCCCACTGCCCTCAGGACAAAATATAATCTATTTCACTGTTAGGGAACTCAAAATTACTAGTGGTTCCAAACATTAGCAACTCTTCTCTCAACTACTGCCTTTGCATAAATTCACTGGTCCTGAAGGCAATGGTCCTCCAGCTCTGGATTTACTTTCATGGTTATTGAAGACTCCCCATTCATTTGTTACACATTTTTGTCTTCTTGAGGTTCTGAATCTCCCTGGAGAAAGATCTCTGGGGCCTGGAGTGTTGCCTTATTCATTTCTACTTCCCCAGTCCCTGTCACATAATCAGTGCTCTGTAAATGTTCAGTGATGACTTTGCTTTCTTATTTAAATGTTATTTTATTCCATTAAGATACTATCAGTGTGGGGCTTGCCTGGTGGCAGCAGTGGTTAAGTATCCACCTGTCAATGCAGGGGACATGGGTTCGAGCCCTGGTCTGGGAAGATCCCACATGCCGCGGAGCAACTAAGCCCGTGCGCCACAACTACTGAGCCTGTGCTCTAGAGTCCATGAACCACAACTACTGAGCCCGTGTGCCACAACTACTGAAATCCGCGCACCTAGAGCCCGTGCTCTGCAACAAGAGAAGCCAACACAATGGGAAGCCCCCGCACGGCAGCGAAGAGTAGCCCCGCTCACTGCAACTAGAGAAAGCCCGCGTGCAGCAACAAAGACCCAGCGCAGCCAAAAAAGAAAAAAAAAAAGATACTATCAGTGTGAAATTAGGGACAATTAACTTTTTTTTTTTTTTTTGGCTGTGCCTCTCGCCTTGTGGGATCTTAGTTCCCCAACCAGGGATCGAACCCGTGCCCTCTGCAGTGGAAGTGTGGAGTCTTAACCCTGGACCGTCAGGGAGGTCCCTAATTGGAAAAAAATATTCTTCTTTCTCAGGGATTTTATGTAAAAATAGATTGTGCATGGATTAAAAATAGTTATTTGCTATTAATTCTCAAGACTGAAAATGTGGTTACCCTCAGTACCACTTTGTTTGGATAATGAAAATTGAAGACAAACTAGTCCTAGAGGACTGGTTTAACCTAGAGGACTGGTTAAATTAACTATGGTATATTCCTACAGTGATATTAAAAAATATCCATGATTGGGACCTCCCTGGTTGTCCAGTGGTTAAGAATCCGCCTTCCAATGCAGGGGATTCGGGTGCCACCCCTGGTTGGGAACTAAGATCCCAAATGCCGCGGAGCAACTAAGCCTGCACGCCACAACTAGAGAAGCCCGTGTGCTGCAACGAAGAGCCCATATGCTGTAACAAAGACCCAGCGCAGCTAAAATTAAAAAACAAACAAAAAAGAAATCCATGATCTTTGGTAAGAAAAGCACAGTGAAGACCAAGTAGAGCGTGATTCATTTTGCTGAAAAGAAAAGGTAATATTGAGAGGAAAAAGTTTTCCTTGCTCCTCTTCAGGTCCTTGGCTGGATCTGAAGATTAAACTGACAAAAACAATTAACAGGAGAAAAGCATACAATTAAAAAAAAATAAATTTATTTATTTATTTGTATTTGGCTGCTTTGGGTCTTCGTTGCTGCGTGCGGGCTTTCTCTAGTTGTGGTGAGTGGGGGCTACTCTTCGTTGCGGTGCTCAGGCTTCTCATTGTGGTGGCTTCTTTTGTTGTGGCGCATGGGCTCTAGGCGTGCGAGCTTCAGTAGTTGTGGCACAAGGGCTCACTAGTTGTGTCTCGCGGGCTCTAGAGTGCAGCCTCAGTAGTTGTGGCACACGGGCTTAGTTGCTCTGCAGCATGTGGGATCTTCCCAGGCTAGGGCTCGAACCCGTGTCCCCTGCATTGGCAGGCGGTTTCTTAACCACTGCACCACCAGGGAAGTCCCTACACATTTATTTAATGTAAGTTTTTACGTGACATGGGAGCCTTCATAAGGAAATGAAGACCAAAAGAAACAGTTAAGCCTGAGTATTTTTATGCTAGGTTAAAGGGTAGTAATCTGGGGGGAATTTAGCAACACTTGCTCGTTAGAATTCTTCTCAGAGTCTCCTTGTCCTTGGAGACGAGGCTCCTTACCTCTCGGTATACTAAGAGCAGCTCTCACTTGAGAGTTTTATGACCTGTTTCATGGTGTGTGTGTGTGTGTGTGTGTGTGTGTGTGTGTGTGTCGGGCATTGAGGGAGTGGGGAGGTCAGAATGACTTTCCTGTTTTCTCAAACTCCTTCAGCTTAAAATACTCAATATGTGGAGGTGCCATATTTTAGGATAGCATGTCCTGAACCCCATCGCTAAGTAGCACAGTGATGAAGAGAATGCCTCTTCTGGAGCCAAGCTGCCTGGGTTTGAATCTCAGCTCCATCATTTTCTGGCTTTGTGATTTGATTGAGGCTATTTAACTTTCTATGCCTCAGTTTCTTTGTTTATAAAATGGAGATAAAAATAGAATCTATTTAGGTTCTCAGGAAGATTAATTTTGTAAACTGCTTAGGACTGTAGTGGGACAGTATATGTGTTTAGAAAATAAATCTCTTCATTCATTTGTTACACAAATATTCATTGAGTGTTCATGTGCTAGACATTGATTTAGGGTCATGGGATCTATCAGAGGACAAATCAGGTAAAGTCTCTGCCTCACAGAACCTACATTCTAGGAGGAGAAAGAGCAGACAAGTAAAGAAATGCATGTATGATATTCCGGGGCGGGTTTGCACTCTGAAGAAAAAACATGTTACACAGCCACGTGGTGGTGTGATCGGATTTACATTTTAAACAATTACTTGGCCTTTGTATGGAGGATTGGGACAAAGACGGTCAAGGGAGTGAGGTGGGGGTTGGGAGACTATTGCCGGAATCCAAGAACTCTTGGAGCAGCTTGCTAGCACTGGAGGAAGTAAAACGTATGCGGTTGTGTGAAGCATATACTTTGAATATGAGAGTCAGTGGGAGCAACTGATGGCTGTGAATTCGGAGGACACCAGGTAGGAGATGATACTTACTTAAAGCCACAGATCTAGGTAACTTGCCCTACCGTGAGGTAGATCTAAGACCTAGGAACAAGAGAACCACATTTGCTAGCTAGCCCTGTCCTCTCAATAATGCTCTTGTTGTAGAGCACTTTTCACTGAGATTCTGTACCCAATTTTTTTTTTTTTTTAGTTCTTGGTTTCACCAAAAACTTAAACTCCTTAAGAGAAGGAACCGTGTATATTTACACGGAAAACTGGCATCGAGCGAGCATTGAACGGGAACAATCTGACCAAACTGCCTCCTCTGCTATTTTTGGGAAGGGAACCAATAAACCTGATTGGAAATGAACACTGTTGCGCTTGATTTGTGTCGCTATATGTCGAGCCAAAAACGTTAGGTGCTTTTTCACGCCTTCCTTTATTTCGTGAACTTCATCACCTACTGCGAAGCCTTGGAGAGAAACCAGCAGAAAAGTAAAAGAGGCACACTTCGCAAAACGAAGTGAATGATTGGAAAGGAACTCCAACATCCGACACGAACTTTTGTCTAAATTCCCCCGGGTAATTACAGACAAGTTGTTAAAACACAGGATCAAACATTAACTTCTCATTTTTTAACTCCAATATGTACCCCCACTAAAATACGCAACCTCAAAAAATAAACTCTCAAAACTGTTTCCCTCCATGGAAATCGTCAGTAAAAGGCGAAAATTCTATACGATCTGAAGAAAAACCACAATATGGTTACTCGCTTCCGCTTGGAACACTCCCAGAACAACGTAACACTCAGCTCACTTATGATTGCTCCGCTCCTGCGCAGTTCGCGCTCCCTGCGTGGGATTTACACAGACCATAGATTTCTAATAGGCACTGTCCTCTGCAACAGCGGACAAACCCCGTGGGGGGGAACTCAAGCAGCATGAAACTGTCTTTTCGTGGTGCACCATGGGTATGCAAATCGCAGGCCGTTCCGGCCGCTGGGCGACACCAGCCGCTGGCCAGCACCAGCCGCTGGCCAGGCAGCGCGGCACCGTGGGGACCCCAGGGCTGCAGCGCTCTCTCGTCGCTGAGGGTCCGCCCGGGAGCCGGCGCTTCCTTACCCAGGCTGAGTTAAGTCCTACCATTCGGTACCCTCAGGGACCACCCCTCCCCCCACCCGCCCCCAACCCTGTTCTAGGGACAGAAGCAGAAACGGTCAAGCACAGACACTCAGGGACTTTGGGACCATGTAGGAGGCAGGTCACCACCCCTTCTGGAGGAGATGGCATCCAAGTTATCTGGAAGGATGGTTCGGGTTTATGGGCGTGGAAACGTGTTCTCCGCAGAGGGAATGGCCTCTGTGAAGTTATGGGTGGTGAACATAGAAAGTAATCAGTCTGTCTGGAGTAGAGTGTGGTGTGTCTGAATGAGGGTGTGAATCCAGCCAGTCGCTGTCCTGAGAGAGCTGGGATGATGGCAGAGGCTAGATGGAGTTAGGCCTGGAAAGGGCTTGGCTGTGATCTTGTGATATCAGTGATGGGGAGCCATGAACGGGGCTGAATAGTGTGCACTGCCACACAGGGTGGGCTGTCCTGCAAACACTGGGACTTGTCCCCAAGACTGGCTGGGGTCAGTGCCCCGGAACTGACCATTCCTGGGGTGGTCCGGCTCCAACTGGCTGGAATCCTTCAGCTGCTGCCACACCAGGACACTGGGCAGTGTTTCAGGGTTATTCACTAAGCATGCAGTTGGAGCACAGACTTTCAGCATAGCTAATATCCCACAAACTACAGAAATAGAGAGCACCTATGGGAAGCCGG